TTGCCCAGTGTGCACCACGTGGAGGTAAGTCTATCTCACACCCCCCAATTGCTGTTGAAGAAATAAAAATGGGTTTTAAAATAGTCACCTTATTGTTGCTTGAAAGGGCAATGATTTTTTTAGCCAGTCAGTCACCCAATTGTTGGCTTACTAATAATAACTATATAGCAATTATGTATGGATTTGTTTACCCCTACAGTTACTCTTTGTGGGAAATAATCATTGGACAGGTTTGACCAGTCCAAGGAATTGAACTGAAATTTGGAATAAATCCGACCTATCACGTAATCTTACCTCATTTGCTTATTTCGTTTTAGTTTATTTAACGAATCTGGGCCATCGCTTCATATTAAGACATACGGATTTTAAAAGTCCCAATGTGTGTCATATGGGAATTAATCTTATTCATATCTCAGTTAAAATGTGTTTATTTCGAATGATTTGTCATATAATGGCAAATTTATCTGCAGATTTGACATAGTTAATACAATAATTTACAAAACCAAGTGCATGAAAACGTTAGATAGCTATAAAAGTTCAAAAAATTGAGGTCTAGACAAATTCATCCAATTGAGTGGGATGTCAATGCTATGCGGGTGTATAAATTAGCAATAACCAAACCAGACTCAGACGAAAACTGTCGAGCTCCAACTGAATGCAAAATAAAGTTGTTTTTTCGGTTAAGTAAATATTGAGATGGGGGAAATTTTTGTCAAATTGATAAAATATCCTGCATATTCTCCTAGTGTTCAGCTGATATTGGACACCATTGCATCCAGGGTGACACGGCCAAATTCTTTCAATAGTTGATTCTATGTCCAAATAGAAAAAACTTCATGGCAGAAGCACAAGATTGTGAAAGTGGATGGGTTAAATGGCGAAGATACATGCCATGGCGTTTCTCAATTAAACTCATGCTATGCATACCTTACCATAAACTTTATTATCGTAAAAAGAATCCCGATAATGTGACGCATTCCTGATTGCGTCATGTTTATTGCAAGCTATTTTCAATATTTACTCGTATTTATTGCAGTCGGATCCTATTTGATGAATCCGCCATATGCTATAGGGGGAAATATACTCCCTTTCAGCTTTACATCACCTAGAAGTGGATTGATGTGGTGTATTGCTCTAATTCAGAAGATATAAAATTACAAATGTTTGTCAAGAGTTGATGACTGATCGCACTTTGCATCTACCTCAAATAATACTAACTTCGTCTATAAAAGTCACAGTTTTTTTTCAGTTTTGAAAGATATTAAATTTAAGTTAACCAAAGCTAGCTCTGTCTCTCCTCCTTTCAAAGTGAAACTAAGACGTTTGAGATGCATTAGGGGGAACAAAGTGATCGGAGAACTTACAGCTTAATTTCTTTTTACATAACAAAGTTAGTTTTCGTCCAAGGATGGGATGGGGAGGAGAAAAATTGGACGAAAGATCATTTAGCCTCTCCCATGATCTCTTAATCTTGAAATTTTTAACCAACCTTCTTCACTACTGGTGTGCTCGAGATTATTAAATTAGTCTGCTTAGAAATTAAATGTCATTAAGGGCAATGGTAAACCCGAAAATAAGTATTTCCAAAATTTATACCATTCATGCTAAATTTAGCCCTTATGTCAAGAATCCAGTTCATGACTGAGTGCGATCTTTTTTTGTGCAAAAAGCTTATTGGCTATCAAGATATTTAGTTCTTAAGTTGTGTGCGATAGACTTACCGCCACGTGGTGCACCCTGGGCAACGTATATTCATACGGCAAAAAAGTCTATTAACTGGCAATTGACTTCTGTCTTCAATCTACCCTCACCCCATTGTATGTCATATTCGACTACTTCCATAGTACTCACCTCACCTTTTTTCTACCTTCGTCTTTGAAGCACTCTTCTGTTCCCCCCTCTCGACTTTTTTTCCCACTTTGATGTTCCTTCCCCTCTGTGAAGACTGAAGTCAACTAAAGGGCTAATGATAACCATCAAGACGCTTGCCATTTGATATAAATAAATAAAGTTCTTAAGTTGTAGTGCATTAAGGCTTTTAGTTTAGGTTGCCTACATTTTGGCCTTCTTGTTTCAGTGTTTTTGAATTATTTTCAATTCATTTCATTGGGTGGCTATGAATCTCCTACATCCAATAATTGACGAGCTGATTTTACAAAGCGTGCTATATTTGTATTTAGCTAAAACGCTCATGATGGGCAGTAATGACCGTGATCTTTAAATTGAATAATAAATAACACTGAAATGTTTCACAATAAATTGACGAAATTAATTCAAGCTTATGTTTATTTATTCCCTAGGAGCATTTCGCAACACTACCGGTCATCCTGAAATATATTCAAATGCAAACCCTCAACTCCAGTGGTTCAAACCAAAAGAGTGAAGAGCCCATGGGCTCAGAAGAGGGCTTCGGGAGTCATGTTCCATCTCACCCCTACATGAGATATCGACCCCACTCCTCTCGAATCCTCAATCACCAGGGATCTGCAGCTACCACAATCCGATGTGATGATAGCGATCTAATCATTAACAATTCGGTCGTTCGAATTCCCACTATCGATCGATTAGAGGCCGCTACTCAATCGGCTGTCTCTTTCGAGTCTACTCAATCCAATAAGCCACACATTTCCGCAAGAGATTGCCTTGATGTTGAACCAGTTCAGAGAGCTGTTAGCGAACCCCCTTCCACCTTCCCCACTGCAGTCCGACAAGGCTGATTGACTGACGAGCTGACTGACTGACAATGCGATTGCTGTGAATTTGTGCGTACATTCAGGCCTTATACCAAAATGTGGATACATACTTATGACCAACCCACAAGCACATCTATGTACACTAAGATAGATCTAGACAAGTGTTGATCATATCTAAAAAGGAGAATGAGATGGCGACAGAATTCTGTATAATGTGGACATTTTATTTTTGTCTATTCAAATACGAAATGATGGAATCATTCCACATATTTCATATCTTTTCATATTCCTTCTAGACTACTATTAATACGAATTTGATTTCTTTACTTTTGAAAAGTATCGTGCTCACTTCTGCACATATTATGAGTGCTGATGCCATGATCAAGTAATTGGAAATGAAGTAGAAGTCCATGATATTCAACACTTTCCAAATATCAATTAATTAGAGGGATGAAAACACCTGAAGAAAGGATAATTGTATCGTTAGCTGTGAAACAGTTCAGTTTCAACATCAGTAAACAATGGATATTCCCTGCTATAAATTGGAGAAGACCGATGTCTATCAAATTGCCAACCCACGCTAAATCCATAGCGAAATACAAGTTAGCCAATGAGACATTTGTTTCTAAGTTAAACAAAGCAGATGATTGTTGAATCTGAATCTGATTAAATGTGAAATCACAGAGGAATAAAAGCGTATAAATTTGGGGATGGGGGTGTGGTGAGGGGTAGAAAAAAATGTTTTCAACAGTTTTAAAATAAATTTTAACTAGCTAAGGAGATTTGATATTTCATTCATCACCCAGATTATATTCATCTGGGATTAAAATAGATAAATGGATAACAGAAATGAACTTACAAGTAATGGCAGATGACGGCGGTTTCAGAGATCCAGTAGATTGAGTCGGGTTCTAAAACGAATTTCCTTGAAAATGGAGGTAGCTATAGGTAGCGATCGCGTGAGAGAACAATAGCGAAGGATGAGATGGAGGAGAGGTTGAAGAAAAGTGAAGAAATGACACTGCAATCCTTGTTATTCTGAGTTAAACAAAAAAGAAAGTGAGTGATCACGAGAAGGAGCAAAGTACTATGTCCTGTTTAAACAACGCACGAATGGGAATATACTTTTCCTCAAACCAAGTTGAATTTGTGTTGTAAAACTACATAGTTTTAGTTAGAATTTCAAAGTCACTACAACAATTGATTATCTCTCTTTTTTGTTGAAAATTGTTGTCTGCTGAATCAATTAATAGCGCGGCCTATGTGTTTGTTCGCTCCACATTCTTTGCCCAAATAAGTCGAATATTCCTAGTGATCTTGGACGATATGAAGGCACTAAAATATCCCCCCCCCCAAAAGAAAATATGCATGCCGCCTTTTCATCCGCAGTTAGAACTTTTCAATTAGATATTCAGTGCAACAAATCACTCTTCTCTAACGTCGCGATAATGTGAGCGTTTCAGCACTGACTTGTATTTTGAGAAGCCTAATATTTATTTATTTAATTTAACGGTTTGATAGTTATCATTAGCCTTGGAGCAGACTTCGGGGCTTCACAGAGAAGAGAAGGAACATCAAAGTGGCAAAAAGTCGAGAGGAGAACAGAAGAGTGATTCACAGATGTAAAGGAGACAGACAGACAGACACAAAGGCATAAAATAGGTAAGATGAGTACTGTGAAAGGGGTCGAATATGACAAATAGTCGGATCGTAGTAGTTTGAAGTCAGAAGTCAACTGCCGATCAATAGACCTTTTTGCCGTATGAGTATACGTTGCCCAGGGTGCACCACGTGGAGGCAAGTCTATTGCGCACCCCATAAATCGAACATCAGTTGAATTGAAATTGTCTATATACTTCGCTTAATTGTATGTAAAATGGCATAAATTTAGAACGTTCATAAAAGAGAATTACTTAATTTATCAGGTTACGTCAATCGATTCACAATTATGAAAAGGCTAATTTGCACAGTAGAACCGTTATAAATTAATTTTAACAGTTGTTATTGACCTAACTACGGTTCAGAACATTTAGCCTTGCCTGAATATATTTGATATTACCTGTTCACATTGTATGCATATTAATTCTACAATTTTTGACTCTTTGGTTTCGCATTTTAGTGAAGATTCTTTGACCTGATTTCCTATTGTTTACATAATTGTATCACTTCGTTAGAAAGCTGTCTCTAGATTTGTGGCGATCGATCCGTTAATTACCTCTCAGAGTCAAAATTACTGAGTTTTACCTGTTTTATTGCGCTTTCAATGTGTCTTAAAATCACAGGAATCAAATCATGTTTCAACATTCTTTTGCCCATATTTTTGCATGGGTTTCTGATAGTCTAATAGCGGCTTCATTTGCTGTAAAATGTATTTCACTCGCAGTCAATAAGATACTAGAATCCCTAGCGCTTATATCCATTACTTATGCCTTTCTCAATTTTAGTGTTGTGAAATCATAGTTATAGTTATAGCCTATAATTTATATTTTTCTTTTACTTCATGTTCTCTAGAGCTGTAATTAAACGACATATTCTTCTCCTTTTGTAAGAAAGGAAATGGTTTTCTCATTCTTGAGAAGATGAGTGCTATATTTATCGTCGTATTGTCAGTTCACTGCTTCAGTAGTCATGTCTGTGACTTGATGGCTTGCAGACAGGCGGGTAAGGCAGGTTTTGTAACGAGAATGTCTAATTAAGGGGTTTCGGTAATCAAACCCCTAAAGCATATCTGCCTCCAATAACCATTTTAATGAAATATTAAATTAGCTTTCGTAGATAATGTGAAGTATTTAAAACTGTTTAGTGGGTCTGATTTTGGTAAATTAAATTGATGCTATTGAGACAAATATATAAGATGAGATTACGGGCATTCTTTGCCAGTTTGACAGACTTGGCTGAGACAAATTGGCTGTTTGTCAAAGAAAAAAGTCAATATAACTCCACTTCGAGAAATTCACTCCACCCGGTTCGACCACACAAATTAGCTTAAGTGTCATGTTGATCTGACTTTGCAGTTTAGTGAGCTAATCTTTTTCTTTCCGACAACTGATTATTTGCCCATTGTATTTTGAATGGTGAAATTTTCTACTTTTGCGTTTGAAAAACAAACCAAGATGAAAATGTCACCATTTTATTCTTGAACAACGGATTTTGTTTCATTTCAGGCTCATGAAGTACTAGAAATTAGTGAAAATTATTTGCCAAATCGATTTTAATAGAAGGTTGTATAAAATCGAAGGTAATAAATTATGAAAAATTATAATACAACAGAGACAATAGAAGATTGATATTAGACTCGTATGAATTAGGGGATTTCAGAAATATTCATGATCTGACTAGTGAACGCAATGACGAATTTGCTGTTCAGAGGAAGACCAGACGTAATTAGAAACTTAATCTGTTAATCTAATGGACTATAATCATTATTATTATTATTATATCAAATGGCAGGCGTTTTGATTGTTATCATTAGCCCTTTAGTTGACTTCAGTCTTCACAGAGGGGAAGGAACATCAAAGTGTAAAAAATTCAAGAGGGGGGAGGAACAGAAGAGTGAATCAAAGACGAAGGTAGATAAGGTGGAAAAAAGGTGGGATGAGTACTGTGAAAGTAGTCGAATATGACATACAGTGGGGTCATGGAAGTTTGAAGTCAACTGTCAGGTAATAGACTTTTTTGCGTACTAGTATACGTTGCCCAGGGTGCACCACGTGGAGGTAAGTCTATCACACACCCCTGGACTATAATCATTGATTGAAACCTAATCACTAATAACCCCCCATCTATGCCATTCAACGTGCAAAACAAATTTAGAAATAAAGTCTGAACAAGAATAAGCAAGAAAGCTCAGGTGTGGTTAGGCAAAAGTAGAGGTGAGAGGGAATTCTCCCTGTGTTTAATAAAGCAGAAAATTAATTCACCATGTACTAAGTGAGTATTTGGTTGTATACTTTTGGAAATAGCAAATATCAATGTCAATCTTCATGGAAATCCGAAAACACATGTGCAAACAAAAGGAC